ATTCTTAGAGAACGTATTTGGTTTCAGAGATGCCTGCAGGACGGCGGTCTTCAGAATTAGAAGACCAACATCAGTTTTGGAGGAAAATCATAAGGAAAAAGTTTTGTTGAGAAACTGAATTTAGATTAAAAAAATATAGAAATATCAATGATGAAGAAAACACAGCGAGGGTTGTTATACCACCTCTGGTGCTAAAAATAAAAGGCTGTGTTCTTTTAGCTTATTAAAAGCAGGTAGCTACGTGTAGTTTTAGTGATTGGCCAAAAAAGGCCACCAAATCCGATTCACAGAACAAATCCTGGCTGGTTAGTTCATGTTAGACTGAACTAAAGATATGTAAGGAAGAAGGGAATCACCGTACATTCAGGGTTCAGACACATGCAGCAGCTGACATTGTACAGGGAATTGTATATTTACAGTGAGCTCTGAAGGGTTAAACGGATGTAGAGTATATGACCAGTGGGTGCTGAAGGGTTTATTGGTGCGTAGAGTACATTTCCAGGTAGTGCTGAAAAGAGTGTATTGTGTATTAATTACCAGCAAGTGTTAAAGGGAATGTAGAATTTATTTCTAGGACACACACAAGGGTTTAAGGGAGTGGTTCTCAACCTTTCTAGGGCCGGGACCCCTTGGTAACATTTGCCAAGGTGTGGTGACCTCCAACGGAGCGCTGGACTCCAGAATTAGTAAGGCGCTGGACTTGGGACTAAAAACAGAAGCACACTCACAAGAATACAAGCCCTCCCCAGCCCCTGCTACCTGCTCTGTCTCCATGCAGCCTTCTCAGCCCCAGCACTGCTTAGACGCCAGTCTCCTGCAGAGCCGGCACTGTATGGGAGGCGGGAGGACAGCAGCGGCTGTGAATAGGAGGAGGCTCTCACCCAGTGCAGCAGAAGTGGATGCTGCGACCCCTTCAATAGTGAGTTGCGACCCACAGGTTGGGAACCGCTGGTTTAAGGGTTAGTAGAGGGTATAACCAGAGTGCTATAATGGAAGTAGGGTATATTTCCAGTGAGTGCTGAAGCGTTAAAGGGAAGTAGAATATATTTCCATACTGACACATGCATTGTCAGTATGGAAATCTGGGAGCTTACACTGCAGAATTGTTTTAAAGAGACCCTGCCACCAACTTAAACTTGCTGGTAAAATTACAGGAAAACACAAGTATTTAAAATGCTTACCTGCAGAGTTTCCTCTCAAAAATCATTTGTTATTCATTTGCAGTGTGTGAATTTGCTAAAAAAAAAATCTGACCACTCCAGGAAGAGTCAATTCCCTAGCACAACCCCCTCCCCTCCTGCCATGTGATAGCCTTCTCCTTTTCATTCTCTGGCAGTGTCTTATTGCTGTCCCAGCCAAGCTTATCTGCCCCTCTTCTCCCTATAAATCTTTTTATGTAAGTGCTGGGAGAGGTGCAAATGGAATACTGTAGAGTGCTATGTGAGTGACAGCTCCGAGTCTGCTGGGATGGCTGACATCACATCCAAGAAGTCTCAGAAGGAGGCTTAAAAAGGTAAAAAAAACATGTATAAAATATGTTGAATGAACATATAATTTTATGAGAAGATTGTTACAATGAATGGTCTGGTGACAGGGTCTCCGCCTGTATGCCGGAGGGCCGTCCTTATCCTTCCTCTACCTTCCTCTACCATTTACTCAATAAACATATCACACATATAACTATAAAGATACCCGACACAGATTCTGCTCTGGGCTGTGACTGCCACCAAGAAGCAGGTCCCTTATCAATGCACAAAACATAGAATCTAAACCCGAAATTCCAAATACAACATAGTGCAGCTTACCAATCCTTAGAGAAGACAAGACCCGCAAGATCAACATATATTTTCTGTACTCACTGGTTTTGTTTTATCGTGAGGACTGGTAAGCTACAATATTATTACAATTATGTTCTTGGGTTGAAGTTATCCTTTAAAGAGGTAAGCAGCAAGGGGGAGAAGAGACGGTCACCATTAAAAGCCTTTATATTCTCCCAGGACAGATGTCTCAGCTGTTCAGATAAGACATTAGCCTCATAGGCAGTGTTTGCATTTCAGTAAGTCAGTCACACCATTGCCTTCCACTGTAAGAACGTGAGGAAAAGCCCAATCACTAGAGGGCGTGGCTACGGTGCCATTCACTTCAATGGACCACCATTCACCAGGACTGTATCTGGTGTGAACGAGGCCTAATAGAGAACTCAAAAAGCCAATCCCTACTGCAGTCCCACTTTGGTAAAGAACGATGTACGGCTACAACAAAACATCTTACAGGGAGTAAATAACAGACGTACTGTTGTGGAGAGTTCATAGGAAAAGAAACACCTAAGTAAGGGCTTCATCCTCCACAATAATATTCAGCAAAAGGTGGGTGGGATAAGAAATGTACTGCAGATGAAGCCATCCTCCACCCTTCCAGTCTAAGAAAAGAGTAAACTGAACCTTATTGGAACAATCTGCAGCTGTGGAAGTTCATAACACTAAGGCCTGGATCACACATAGGTGTTTTTGAGCAGTTGGAAATGCGCTTTTAAATGCCCAACACAAGAAATCCAATGATTTCCAATGGCCCCTGTTCACACCTGAGCAGAAAAACGCCAAATGCCCAAAAAGGTACATGCAAAAGCATATTGCATACTTTCGTGCGTTTTTGCACGTTTAAATACACGTTAGTCCATTGCCCGCAAAGTTTCATATGCTGCGTCTTAATACGCGCATCAAAATGTGCACAGCGGCATAAACACGCAAATAACCGCACGCTGAACACGCACATACAAACGCGACAAAACAGTGCCGTCTAGGTGTGGACCCGGCCTAAGGGCAATAATAGTGTAAGATCATTATATAAACGTGTAGTCTCTGAGCAGTGACCCTCATATTCTCATATACAAGTGAGATATCATACGATATGATGTTTGTGGATGTTTAAAGGCACACTGGAGAGATTTCAGAATTGTGGTGAAAGATAAGGGAGTAATGCAGCCAGTCCCAAAGCTCTACAACCTGCTATGTGGGATGTGAATATACTGAGTAATGATTGTAAGGGAGGGCCTGCTGAGAGCTACTTCCTGTCCCAGATGATGAACAGAGGCAATCCCTGCGAGTGGTGCTTCTGTGCAAGATAAAGAGGAAAAACATTACAAGACCAGCTTGGGGAAGCCCATAGCTTAGCCTTCTTTTTTTGGGGGGGTGGGGG